GCTACCGCTTGAGCCACATCCCCAGCCCCTATGTATTGATTTTTTAAAAACATTTTTAGATATAGATGGACACAATACCTTTATTTATTTTTATGTGGGGCTGAGGGTTGAACCCAGTGCCTCACACATGCTAGGCAAGTGCTGTACCACCAAGCCACAACCCCAGCCCCATTGATGTTTTATTAGAGTCTTCTTTGTATGTTGCAGAATTCATCTTGCTAGTATTTTGTTGAGGCTTTATGCTTCTGCTTTTGCTTTCCTTATCCATCTTTCCTTTGACTATTATTACATTATATCCCCTCATTCTAGGTATAATTATGTTATCATATTTTAATATTTGCTAATAAGAGTAAATGCTTATCATTAGACATTTCTTTTAGATTTTTCTTTATTCATAAATTTTGATTTATCAATTTAGGTTTTCATTTTAGTATATTTACTACACTCTTTATTCTGAAATTTCTTGCTTACTAAGATTACTTTGAAGAGAGTAAATTGCTCTGTAATTCTCACATGGTTGAACATTATTTAATTACATTTTAGGACTAAGGGTGTATTTGTGTGATAGAGTAATTGGCTAGGATGTGTGATACAATTTGTGTGTATGCAGCCTCAGCACTGCATACACACAAATTGTATCTTTTTAAAAAAAAATTTTTTTTAGTTGTAGATGGACACAATATATTTATTTATTTGTTTATTTATTTATTTTTATGTGGCACTGAGGATCAAACCCAGGGTCTCACACCTGCAAGTCAAGTGCTCTACCACTGAGTTACAGCCCCAGCCCACGAATTATATCTTTAATTAGCAGAATCTCACTTTATTTTATCATTTTCAGGAAATATAATATTGTTTGCCTCTAAACAAGTACTTGGTGATTTATACTCAATTGCAGTAAGTTTTTATAAAATATATAGTATTGGATTTGTTCCTGATCTATCATATAATTTTCTATATACTTGGGTTTTTTTAAAAAAAATCATCTATGTTTTATAGATTTGTATACCAGAGGTGAAAAGAGTATTGGAAATGGTTTTACCTGGAGTCTTGTGCCAAGTCAGGGACTTTTGAGTTGGAAGATTTGAGCAGCCATGGGCCAGATGACTAGTGCTGTGCAGAGAAGATGGTGGGTGGAATCCTCCTATAAGAGTAGTAATCCCAGCAGCTCAGGAGGCTGAGACAGGAGGATCGCAAGTTCAAATCCAGCCTCAGCGATGGCTAGGCGCTAAGCATTTCAGTGAGACCCTGTCTCTAAATAAAATACAAAATAGAGATGGGGATGTGACTCAGTGGCAAAGTACCCCTGAGTTCAATCCTTGGTAACCCCCCCCCAAAAAAAAAAAAAAAAAAAGAGTGGCAGAGCAGCCGCTGCAGGACTCTAACTGGAGCTGAGAAAAGGTGTGCTAGAGAGTGTGGGAACAGGAGAAGGAGAGGGAGGCTACTGCTGTGGGCACTGACTGTAGGCATGGACATGGACTATCAGCCTTGCTGGTTTTAGCCTTCCCATGGGGAACAGGGACAAAACCTAGCTAAGAGGAACTGTGTGTCTGAAGGTTCCCAGGACAGGGCAGAGGAAAGACTGCTGAACTTCTTCTTTGTCCTCCCTTCCTGAGCCCCCAGGAGCTGGGCAGCAGGGAGTAGGATTTCCTGGACTCCTTGACACTGCCCCACATGGCCAGTCCTGTGCACCAACTTCAGTTTTTTGCAGGACATGGGATCTTTTATACCTGTTGTAATGGGATAGTCCTGCTGCCCTTGAGTAGGCATCTAGTAATTGGGGTTGGTTGAATGAAGGTGAGGAATCAAAACCGTATTGTGTTTTTGAAAGAGGAGTTTGTATTTCTGTATTAACATGTCCACAGGAGCAGTTGTGCTTGCCTTGTGGTCTCAGAGCTCAAGTTCACATTGATTTTTTTTTTAATATTTATTTTTTAGTTTTCGGTGGACACAACATCTTTGTTGGTATGTGGTGCTGAGGATCGAACCCGGGCCGCACGCATGCCAGGCGAGCGCGCTATCGCTTGAGCCACATCCCCAGCCCCCATGATTTTTTTTCTTAAATATTTATTTTTTAGTTTTAGGTGGGCACATATCTTTATTTTTTTATTTTTATGTGATACTCAGGAT